AAGAAAGATAAAGAGGATACATGGAGCAGTTGTGAATTTCACAGAATTACTGGCCACAGCAAGGAACGTGGGTCAGTTTAAAAAATAATCAAGAAAGGCAGGGCGTTAAGTCAACATATGGGAAATAGTGGGTGAGGGACGTTAACGAAAAACACTTGGGAATTAATTTAAATGAACAATCACCAGGGCAATTAGATGTTGACCACATGGTCAAACTGCTTGCATAGGTCGGGTTTCTTCCACGAATAGAAGACAGAATGCCACGGTCCTCTATTACCAAGCATCTATTAGACAGCGGTCACTCTGTCGACGTCAAAACAGCTTTTCGTGTACTTTTTCGGGCCCGAACAAACCGAATCCTGTGCTATTTGGAAGCTGCATACATATGGTGCGAGAAACCGGACCTATGCAAGCAGCTTGATCATGTGGTCAACCCCCGATTGCCCTGGTGATTGGTCATTTAATTTCATTCCCAAGTGTTTTTCGTTAACGTCCCTCACCCACTATTTCCCATATGTTGACTTAACGCCCTGTCCTTTATTGATTATTTTTTAAACTGACCCACGTTCCTTGCTGTTGTCAGTAATTCTGTGAAATTCACAACTGCTCCATGTATCCTCTTTATCTTTCTTATGCAGCGACAAGTAGCAGCTGATAAGCTGTCGCGAAATTTGTTGATATCAGTAAATCCTGCTGTTTTTGCCTGCTTTCAATTTGTACCGGGGAATAATGCTTCAAATTAGGAATATGCACTGAGTAGTGCACTCACTTCCCCCTCAAAGGCACTAGTCTACCGTCATCCTATATGAGGACTGGGCGCGGATGCCTGAAAAGGTTACAGGGCACCTATACGCGTGCCACAGACGACCTGGTCCGCCGAACAGTCCCTTAAGTTTTCACATTAAAGGAGGCGACCACTGTCAAAAAGCTAAAAGAAAATAGGGGGAGAGCGGGCCCATTCTATATCACTTGGTTACACTATTTTGTCACCCTAATTCTGCTCTAGCACCCAAACTCATGCCCTTGAATGATGCCAACTCATAACTGTCATTCCGATTGTTGGTCATGCTGCGCTGATTTCTGCTTGTTGTGACCCATAGGTCATTTTGCCTAGGCGATCTCCGAGGTCCCTATGCTGGCGCCGTTTCTGTTTGCTTGCAGTACACGTAAGCGTAGACTCCTCCACGTTGCTACTGCCTGCAGACTCATCTAAATTTTTTTATCTTGGCACTAAGAGATGTCAAGTTTGCCAAAACAATGTAGAAGTGTCATGTTTCTCCCCCTCCTCCTCCTCCTCCTCCTCGTCCTCATAAAACGTATATACGCACATTAAAATACCATGCTCTACTTGGAACAGTTGTAGGGCCTGTCATATATTAGTCATCTCTTACCTTACCGCTGACGAAGAAAGATTCACCGATAGATTGGTCTTGGCCCAATGTAGACATGCTGGCACAAGTTGTAAAACAATCAGCTGTCAAAAATTTATTTACAAGAGGACAAGAGGACATGGTAGAGTGATTATTAATTCGAGAATATACAGGGGTTAATAAGATATACTTTCAGTCAACCTAGAGGTGTTTCATCACAAACAATCTTAGTTAGTTGCTGGAGGGGCTGAAGAGGGTCGAAATGGATACTACTATGGCAATGGGACACAGGTTTCATCAGAAGAT